AAAAAAAAAAAAAAAAAAAAAAAAAACACAAATCAGTGAGAAAACAATGCGTGATTTGGGGACTGTCATAAGTTATTTATGAAATAAAGTCCAGTTCAAACACATGACTATATTAACAAGTCTATAATCTTTTCCTGATAGTTTTATGAGAATCACATGCCATCAGATGATGAAAAAATTCAACATTATCATACATGAAGCACAATGGAAATTTTAGCCAAAAGGGTTAAATATTTGATTTTGGGTTTTTTTGGTTTGTTTTTTAAAGGAAGACTGAAAATCATAATTCCTAGAATCTACTGAGTTAACAATTTGACAGAATCTAATTAAAACACAAAGGAAAGGGCCGGGGATTTAGCTCAGTGGCACTGTGCCTGCCTCACTAGTGCAAGGTCCTGAGTGTTCAATCCCTGGTACCAGAAAAAAAGAAAAAGAAACAAGGAAAACAACTATTATAGAATTGTACATGGACAGAAAGAGAAAAAGAGACAGATCTTAAAAATATGTTCAAATATAATAATATTCATTGATAATTTTTGTGAAATTAAAAACATTTTCTTAGTCTGAAGAAAATCCTGCTATAAATTTTACAAGAGATAATTTCCATGTTAATATTAATAGGTCATTCCTTTAAATGTTATTCTAAGAAACTTCCCAGCAGTGCATTTCATGTCTTCACTAACATAAATTCTGTTGGAATTACCCATAAGTACAACAATGTGCAAATGTCTGGCATCATAAAAAGCATATGATACTTGAGTTGAAAATAAGGCATTCTGTTCATTCCTGGAAGCAAATATCACTTTGATTCCCAAACCAGGGAAAGACACAACCAAAAAATAGAACTACAGGCCAATCTCCTTAATGAATATAGATGCAAAAATCCTTAATAAGATACTAGCAAACAGAATACAGAGGATTATCAAAAAGATCATACATCCTGACCAAGTCGGATTAATTTCAGGGATACAAGGGTGGTTCAATATACATAAGTGAATAAACATAATACACTATGTTAACAGAGTCAAGGACAAAAACCACATGATCCTCTCAATAGATGCAGAAAAAGCATTTGACAAAATTCCACACCCACTCATCATAAAAACGCTGCAAAAAATTGGAATAGATGGTCTATATCTCAACTTAATGAAGCCTATCTATGAAAAACCAACAGCCAACATCATATTAAATGGCCAAAAACTGAAAACCTTCACGTTAAAATCAGGAACAAGACAAGGATGCCCACTATCACCACTCCTCTTCGATATAATTCTGGAAACATTAGCCACAGCAATTAGACAAGAGAAAGAAATTAAAGCAATAAAGATAGAAAAGGAAGAAGTTAAAACTGTCATTATTTGCTGACAATATGATACTCTACATTAAAGACCAAAAAAATCCACCAAAAGACTCCTAGACTTAATTGACACTTTCAGCAGAGTAGCAGGATACAAGGTCAACACCCAAAAATCAATAGCCTTCTTATACACAAATAACAGATTCACTGAGAGAGAAATTAGGGAAACAACTCCTTTCATAATAGCATCTAAAAAAATGAAGTATCTAGGAATCAACCTAACAAACGAAGCAAAAGACCTCTACACTGAAAACTACAGCACTCTGAAAAAAGAGATCGAGGAGGATATAAGAAAATGGAAAGATGTCCCCTGCTCCTGGGTAGGAAGAATCAACATAGTAAAAATGGCCATACTGCCAAAACTGCTATACAGATTCAATGCAATGCCAATCGAAATTCCAACACTATATTTCACATAACTAGAAAGAAGAATCCAAAAATTCATTTGGAACCATAAGAGACCTAGAATAGCAAAAGCCATCCTAGGTAACAGACACATGGCAGCAGGTATAACTTTACTACAAAGCAACTGTGATAAAAACAGCATGGTACTGGCAAAGAAACAGACCTGAGGATCAGTGGAACAGACTGGAAGACACAAAAACAACTCCAGATGTACTCAGCTACCTCATCTTTGACACAAAGGAGCTGACAGTCCCCACTGGAGGAAAGATAGCCTCTTTAATGAATGGTGTTGGAAAATCTCAACCTGCAAAAGATTAAAACTAGACCCTTATCTGTCACCACACACTAAATTAAAATCCAAGTGCATTAAAGATCAAAATATAAAAAAAGAAACACTAAACTTGCTGGAAGACATTGGCATAGGAAAAGACTTTATGAACAAATCCTCAGTAGCACAGGAACTAGCAGAAAGAATCAACAAGTGGGATCTCATCTTATTAAAAAGTTTCTGTACTGCAGAAGAAACCATCAACAGAACTAAGAGACAACCTACAATGTGGGAAAAAAAATTGTACCAGCTGCTCCTCAGACAAAGGACTATTATCTAGAATATATAAAGAACTCAAAACAATCAGCCCCCCCGCAAATATAAAGGCCCAATTCAAAACTGGGCATCTGAAATGAACAGACATTTCTCAGACAAAGAAGTAAAAGCAGCAAGTAAATATATGAAAAAATGTTCCACATCACTGGTCATTCGAGAGATGCAGATGAAAACAACACTGAGATTCCACCTCACCCCACAAAGAATGGCTGCTATCAAAAAAAATCACACAATAACAAATGTTGGCGGGGTTGTGGGGAGAAAGGAACCCTTCGCCATTGTTGGTGGGAGTGCAGACTGGTGCAACCACTGTGGAAATCAATATGGAGATACCTCAAAGAGCTGGGACTAGAGGTTCCATTTGACCCAGCCATCCCTCTGCTGGGTATCTTTCCAAAAGAATTAAAAGAATCATATCACAGAGATATATGCACACCTATGTTTATAGCAGCACAATTTGTAATAGCTAAAACTTGGAAACAGCCCATTTGCTCATCAGATGGAAACTGGATAAAGATGTGGTTTTTCTATAAAATGGAATACTACCTAGCCATAAAGAATGAGAAATTAGAGATAGTCATAGGAAAATAGATATATTTTGAGGATATACTCCTAAGTGAAGTAAATGTCACACGTGTAAATACTGAATAGTTTCTCTAGTATGAAAAACTATAATAGTACTCAAGATCCTAATGGGATAATTAACAATGTGAAATAGGAAGAAAAGGGCTAAAGGTGTAGGGTAAGTGGGAAGGGTAGGGGAAGGGGAATAAGGGAAAAGAAAAAAATGTGAGAAAATGAAAAAATGGAATTAAAGTGTTTGTAAATGGGGAGGGGAGGAGGGGGTGAAGGGAGGGCAGGGACAAGAGGAAAAAATGAGAACCAAGACCTGTCATGTAAAGGTACAAGATTCCAATGATGAATGTAACTGTACTGTATAACTAGAATGTACCAATAAACTTAATTTTTAAAAAAAGAAGAAAATAAGGCATTCTGCATACCATGTAGCATAGAATGATATCCACTAGGGCATCAGAAAAAAAGTTTCATGTTCTCATGTGTTTCCTGTGTTTGTTTTTTTTTGGGCGGGGAGTACTAGGGATTGAACTCAGGACCTTGCACTTGCGAGGCGGGCAGCAGCACCACTAAGCTAAATGCCTGGCACATGTGTGTCTGTACTTTTAAAGATGAGTAACTCAGCAGCAATTTTATCAGAACTGAAAATGCATTTGGAACATACCTGTAATCTCAGCACTCAGGAGGCTGAGGCAGGAGGATGGCTGTGAGTTCAAGGCTAGCTTGGGGTACATAGTGAATTCAAGGTCAGCCTGAACTACATGAGACCTTGACTCAAAAAACATAAAAATAAATAAATAAATAAATAAATAAATAAATAAATAAATAAATAAATAAATAAATAAATGCATACATACGTACATACATAAAACTAAAAATGAAATGCTGGGCATGATGGTGCATGCCTGCAATCCCAGCACTTAAGAGGCTGAGGTAGGATTGTCATGAGTTTGACGCCAGCCTGGACTACATAGGGAGACACTGTCTCAAAAAAAAACCTGAAAATGAAGCAGGAATATAATAGCTCACCTTTATGCATTGGAGTTGATCCATTATCATCACGCTCATTAAAATTGATTATGCCATCTTCTAATAATTTCTTAAGCATTTCCAAATCACCCTTAAAGGCAGCCACGTGACCTGGAAATGCTAAAGCTATGAATAAGAAAATTCAGCATTTCAGTAAATACATGAGTTTATTCTTTGGTCTTCCTTAAGATTTCATATTACATTTTAATAAATTATATTCTTATAAAGTTGCTCTTTTAAAAGTGATCAAAGTGAAAGAGAAAATATCTGTATCAGATAAAAATAATTAAATTACTAGATTCAAGAATGTACAGAAATTCAAGCCAGGCGTGATGGTGCACACCTGTAATCCCACATGAGGGAGGCTGAGACAGCAGGATTGCTGTGAGTTAAGAGGTCAGCCTGGGCTATAAGTTCAAGGACAGCCTGAACTACATAGTGAGACCTTGTCTCAAAATAAAACAAAACAAAATTACAGAAATTAAAATTTATTTCCCCATTAAGTTTATTGGTACATTTAAAGCAAACAATACAGTTACATTTGTCATTGGGATTGTGTACCTTTACATGATATTATCGATTCTTATTTTTCCCCTGTTTTCCTGCCCACCCTTCACCCTCTTCACCCTTTCCTATTTACAAAGACTTTGTTTCATTTTTTCCTTTTTTCACATTTTTCCTTTTCCCTCATTTCCTTTCCCCTACCGTCCCACTTCCCCTTTAGCCATTTTCTTCCTAGTTCACACTATCAATTATACCATTTGAACCTTATTTACACTGTTAGTTTTTCACAACAGAAAAACTATTTGGTATTTACTCAAGCGTATCCTATTTATTTCACTTAAGAGTATGCCCTCAGTATGCATCCATTTTGCTATGAATGACTCCAGTTTCTCATTCTTTATGGCTGAATAGTACTCCATTTTATAGAAAAAAAAAAACGCATCTTCTTTATCTAGTCTGCAGTTGATGGGCATTTGGGCTGTTTCCAAGTTTTAGCTATTACAAACTGTGCCACTATAAACATGGGCGAGCATATATCACTGTGGTATGTTTCTTTTAATTCTTTTGAAATTAAAATTATTTAGAAAAATTACACAGTGCATTTTTTATCTTTTTTGTGGGTTTTTTTTGTTTTGTTTTTTGTTTTTGTTTTTTTTGGTACAGGGGATTAAACTTGGGTCCTTGTGCTTGCAAAGCAGGCCACCAAACCACTGAGCTAAATCCCCAGCCCACTTTTTTGTGTTTTATTATTAGTTTTATTTGTTATTTTTTAAAGAATACAATTTTGCGGGGTGGGGGGAACAGTACCAGGAATCGAACTCAGGTCCTTGTGCTTGCAAGGCAGGCTGCAGAACCACTGAGCTAAGTACCTGGCCCTAGAATGCAATTTTCTAAAAGGGAGAAAAATGCAGGTAGGTAACTAGGCAACTTTAACACCATATATTCTTTTACATATAATGGAATGATAAATCCCAAATAATATTCTACTAGTGAGAAGAAAAATAAAAGTAATGATATTAGGGAGAGATGCAGGAGACTGCAATGCTAATAGTTTATTCTTAAGTTTGTAATATAAACAATGCTCTATGTGTTAATACTATACACTAAAAATATTTAAACACTTTTGTGTAAAATATTTCATAATACAGAATCTAGATGAATACGTGGCCAATGAACATATAACACGTGCCTTAAAAATTTTTTGTTTTCCTATCCCATTGATTCTACTTATATTATCACCACCATCATCATCATCACATTATATGCATAGCTTCATTTCAGCTTAGTGACTTACTTTCCTGATCTTCTGGGTTATTTCCTTCACATGCAGCTCCTTGGATAAACTGTAAAATATTTTGCTTAAAGAACCTCTGGGCCAGGTCCAACACGTTTTCTCCATTGTCGTTAAAGGCTTTTAAAGCTTGTACGCCATTGCTCATTCTACTGAGTAGGAGTTTAAAACAGTGAAGGTGGCCTTCCATGGCTGCTAAGTGAACTACAGGTAAGATAAAAAAAAAAAAAAAAGATCTCAATGTTAAAATTGAAAGTAAAATAACTTGAAAATGAACACATTAGCTCCAATCCTCACAGGGAGATAACCATCCTGCCCCACATGACAGACTTTTCCTGCGCAAGGAGAATGGACCATGTTCCCAGCTTGCATCTCCTCGCACTGCCAGCCTTCTGTCCCTCCAAAGCAGGAGCCTACTTCTTGACTGACTACACTTCCTACCACTTTATGGAGACTGGATGATGGTCACCTAAAAGCAGGACTCAGAAAGTTATCTTACAAAGTTAAATCCCAGTTAAGCAGCTTATAATTATACAGAAAAATAGTTATTATGTAAATAAATAAAAATGTAACATTTGAGAAAAAAGTGGAACAAATCAAAAAGTCACTATGTAAATATGAGTATTATTTTTATCACGATACAGTACATTGTCACTTTTCTATACTAGCTAACTGCAGGCTGAGCAAAGGCACTAAACACATCATTTCTACCCTAAATCCTTGAAAATAAAAGATACTTTCAAAACCAAAAACAGGTAAAGTTTTGTTGCTGCTGTTTTACAGTATCGGGATCAAACTCGGGATCTTGCACTTATGAAGCAGGCACTGTACCACGAAGCTAAATCCCCAGCTCAATAACTAAAGTTTGACATGAACAGACAAGAATTTTTTTTCTTAGACAAGAAATTCTAAAGAATCTCTGAAAGTATACTGGATTGGGATAACTGCAACCGAACCCTTCTTTTTTAAAAATGCAGGGTGTGGTGGTGCACACCTGTAATCCCAGCATTGGAAAGGCTGAGGCAGGAGGATTACTGCTGAGTTCAAGGCCATCCTTGGCTACATGGTGAGTTCAAGCTCAGCCTAACCCACAAGGAAAGGCCCTGTCTCAAAAATACAAAACAAGAAGGAATGATTGTGAGGCAATGCTTACAAAACCGAAGAAGTCTTTATATCTCATTTTGGGAGGCTCAGTTTATATACTATACAAATTTGACTAAAGAGAAGTGAGGCAGTTCTCAAGTGGCCATGCAACTCAGGAGAAAGAAGTCCCAAAATTCAAATATTGGTCAATGTTTCTGTTTATTTTTTATTTAGTATATTAATTTTTTAATTGCATTCATTGGTACATTTTAGGTATACAGTACAGTTACATTCGTTATTGGGATCTTGTACCTCTACATGACAGGTCCTGGTTCTCATTTTTTCCCCTTGTCCCTGCCCTCCCTTCACCATGTCAATGTTTCTGCTGACAGCCACAACTTAAAGGAGGAAATGACCGAACTGATGCTCCACTGGTTGCCAGGGTGGAACATCATGGTGGGAGGCATCTGCTCAGTTCAAGGCAGCCAGGAAGCACCGCACAGGGGAAAAGCAGCAGCAGAGAAACCTCTTCACAGGCAACCACAAGGACCCACCCACCCCATCTGGGCCCGGCTTCTAGACAGCACACTCAGCTAGGAACATCAGCGGAATAATCACGAATGAGTATATCGTCCCAGGATCAAATCACCTCCCAGTAATCGGGGATGGAACTTGGGACCTTGTGCTTACAAGGCAGGAGGCAGAACCACTGAGCTACATCCCCGGCCCAGGAATCTTTAATCCAGTAAAACTGGCAAGTAAGATTAGCTGGGATTTAGCTCAGTGGCACCGTGCCTGCCTGGCAAGCACAAGGTCCTAAATTCAATTGCTGGTACAAAAATGTAAAAATGATAAGCTGGCATGGCCCAGGAATTGAACTGTGGCTCACACCATGCCATCCTAGGTCAGGTGCTCCTCCTACAAAACATCTCCCTGTGAAAATTCAGGCTTTTCTGACTGCTAATTCATCACACATATGCTTGCATGTCCTACAGACGTAACAGCTTGAAAACTAAAGACCTCATCTTCTTTGCGTATGTTTTCCTTATGTAATCTTCTGCATCTTAGTCAATGGAAAACCTTTTCTGTTTTTCAGTCCAAAACCATGGAGCCATCCTTAATTCCCCTTTCCGTCACTCCCACCACTAGCATCAGCAAACCCCACTGGCTCCTTAAAAGATACAGGTAGAATTCAATGAGTTCTCACTCTTTGCTGCCTTTCATAATATGCCACACTAATTCAACCCAAATATCAGCCTAAATTATTACAGTAGACTGCTACCTGCTCTATTTCTTGCCTTGCCATCCTCACAACCTCACTGCAGTCAGTTATAAACATAATAGTATTAACCTAAGTCAGAACACATCACTCCTGTGCTCAGACCCTCAACAGGTTCCTGTGACCCCTCAGACCTGAGCTATTACCCCTCACTTCCCTTCCAACCATGCTGACTTGTTGCTGTTCAAACACAACACACACACCTTGCCACAACTGCATCCTCACTGTTACCCCTTCCTGAAATACTCTTCACCCAGGATATCCACAGGCTTGCTTCCTCCACTTCTTCAGATCTTTACCTAACTCCTACCACCTCAGCGAAGGCTATCCTCGCCCTGCCATGTGAAATTTCTACCCCTCTAATATCTTCTACTGTTTTCTGCTACATTATATGTACCCAATCCCAGATCCCCATTTAATATTACATGCACATATTTGGCTCATTCATTTCGAATGAATCTCTCCCCTCACCACCACATGAAAACAAGAACTTCTGATACTTTTCACGATGCCCCAAGCATTTCCAAGTGGATTGCCACATAGGAGTACTCAATAAATATGTCAAATTAATATTTTTGAGGGAGGTTTGGCTACACACAGTCTAGTCCTGAGGCCACATTCTGTGTCTGTGCGTGTGTGTGTGTGTGTGTGTGTGTGTGTGTGTGTGTGTGTGTGGTTTTTTGAGACGTGAACTCACTGTGTAGCCCAGGCTGGCCTCAAACTTGCAGGGATCCTCCTACCTCAGCCTCCCAAGTGCTGGGATTACAGGCATGAGCCACCATACCCAGTGTGAGGTCACATTCTTTTTTTTTTTTTTTGGTTTTTTTTTGGTTTTTTGAGACAGGGTCTTACTCTGTAGTTATGACTGACCTGGAACTCACTATGTAGCCCAGGCTGGTCTCGAACTCACAGCGATCCTCCTGCCTCTGCCTCCGGAGTGCTGGGATTACAGCCATGGGCCACCACGCCCAGCTACATTCTTAACCTATACATTGTACTATTATAAAATACACTCTCTATTTGCTAATTGTCCCGTTAGGATCTTGAGTACTATTTTAGTTTTTCACACTAGAGAAACTATTCAGTATTTGCATATGTGTGACTTATTTATTTCACTTAGGAGTATATCCTCAAAATGTACCCATTTACCTATGAATGAATCTACTTTCTCATTCTTTATGGCTGAGTAGTATTTCATTTTATATACTGTCTACCTAGAATGTACCAATAAATTAAATTTTTAAAAAAATACACTCTCCATGGTTGTATAATAATCATATGTATTTAAAGAAATAAAAAGATTTTTTTAAGCAGACAACAAAAGACAAAAATGATCAGGTGTATGAATGAAACTGGCTCTTATGATGTGCTACACACAGAAAAAGTGTGAAATAGCCTTTTTCAGATTGTAGATCTAAACATGAAATTAAAACAGTAAAATTTCTAGAAGATAAAATAAAGGAATGTCTTCACAGTCAGAATAGGGGAAGTTTTTCGGAGTAAGATATACAGAGCACTAGCTACAAGAGGAAGACATTATTAAAATGAACTACATAAAAGTTAAACTTCTATTTATCAAAAGGTATTGATTGATTGCTTGATTGATTGTGGTACTGAAGATCGAACCCAGGGCCTTTGCACTGGGCTATATCCCCAGCCCCTATTTTTATTTTGGGATAGGATTTCACTAAGTCACCAAATTACCTAGGACAGGTTTGAACTTTTCATGCTCTTGCTTCACTCTCTCAGAATACAAGGATTACAGAAGTCCACCAACACATTCAGCTATCCAGATACATCTTAAAAGAATAAAAGTTTGCCAGGTGTGGTGGCACATGTCTGTAATCCCAGCACTCGGGAGGCTGAAGCAGGAGGATCACTGTGAGTTTGAGACCAGCCTGGGCTACACAGTGAGTTCCAGGGCAGTCTGAACTACATAGTGGGACTCTGTCTCAAAAAAAATAAAAAGTTGAGCCGGTGGCCAGGCGTGGTGGCTCATGCCTGTAATCCCAGCACTCGGGAGGCTGAGGCAGGAGGATCGCTGTGAGTTCGAGACCAGCCTGGGCTACATAGTGAGTTCCAGGTCAGTCTCAACTACATAATGAGACCTTGTCTAAAAAAAAAAAAAAAAAATGTTGAGCCAGGCGCAGGGGCACACATTTATAATTCCAGCACTCAGCAGGCTGAGGCAGGAGAATCACCATGAGTTCAAGGCCAGCCTGAACTGCATAGCAAGACCCTGTCTCGAAAGGAAGAAAGAAAAAAAAAAAATACAAGCAAGAAAAAGGAAAAATACTTGCATGAAAAGTTATTTGCAACACATATAGATGACAAAGGGCTTATAACTAGAATATATGAAAGATTCCTACAATTCAATAAGAAAAAGACAGAAAACCCAAAGGAAAATAACCAAATGGCCATAAAGCATGATATTCAAGTATCTTTAGTCATCAAAGTAAATGTAAAGTACAATGAGCTATCACCTTACAGTCATCAGAATGACTAAAACTAAAAAATAATAATAAATAAGAAAGGCGAGCAAGTGAAACTCTTAAACACACTGGGTGTGTACGCTGGTAAAACCAGTTTGGAAAAGCAAAATAAGAATGATGCAAAAAATATTTGAGTATTATTTTATAAATTTCAAAAGAAAAAAAAATTTTTTTTTTTGGTACTGGGGATCGAACTCAGGCCCTATGCTTTTGTGGCAGGCAGCAGAACCACTGAGCCAAATCCCTGGCCCCTGATACTTTATTCTTAATCTGAATGATGATTACAGAAAAGTGTTCATTTATGAAAATTCATTCAGCTTTGCACTTGAGTTGGACACTTTTGTATATGCATGTTTTACTTCAATTTAAATTGTTTTTATAAATTGAACAAAGTAAAAAGTAAAAAAAGAAAAGCATGGGGACAAAATGAAATCACTTCCACATACACACAAAAAATGATTCATACCAAGTCTTTACTAAAGGAACATGAAAATATGTACTTCAGAAATACGCACAACCATGAAGATACAGAAGATGCGGCCAGGGAGGGAGAGAGGAGCCAAGTTCCACAGGCACAGCATTAAACTGAGCTGAGAAACCAAGGCTGCACTGGAAGCCAGGGCTTAAGGGGCGAAGGGATTTGTGTTTTGTTTTGTTTTTTGTTTTTTTGTACCACTGAGCTAAATCCCGGGCCCAGGGTGAAGGGATTTGATTAGACCCGTTCATATTATTCTTCACGCGAGTGCTTCTGAAGATTTAAGAAGTCATTCCCAAAAGAAGTCACTTAGGGCCAGGGATTTAGCTCAGTGTTGCCGCCGCCTGCCTCGCAAACGCAAGGACCAAGGACCGGAGTTCAATCCCTGGTACCGAGAAAACACGCATCATTTTCACTCCCATCTCATAGGTCCATCCCTCTCGGAATTTCTACAGCACTTCTTTGAGGGTTCAGAGCCCAGGTTTCAAATGGCCAGCTCACTGTAGGTTACATAACTGCAGCCGCAAATTATGGAAATATACTAGTGTCCGCTTTTATAATATTTTTTTAAAAGTTTAAACTTATTTGTGGAGAAGGGCATAAAGTTAAAAAATAAAGATCCAAGACAGCAAATGGAAGAAAAGTTGGTGAGTAGAGCCAGTGTATGTTTAATTTTGCCATTTTCTCTTTTGCTGTTACAGTTCTAGAGGGAAAAAGTACAGTCGTGAGGGTAATAACATCAACATGACAGAAGACAAAAATGTTCATGTGAATAGACTTACTATTTTATGTATTTTAATATTGCATGGTTTCTCTTGTGTGAGAAACCAAAAGTGGAAATTAGGACTAAAATGTGTAATAGATATTGGGAAATAGGAAGAAATGTTCAAATGGGAGGGAACAAAGGAGGAGGGAGGAGAAAGGATGGGACAAGGGAACAAAGTGAAACTAGAAGGAAAAAATGGAAACAAAGCTTTCGAACACAGAGAGGGAGGAGAGAGGGCTGCAGGGAAGGTGGGGGATGGGAAAAAAGAGGCGGGATGAATTGTGTACAGGTGCCAATTCCCTGAGTGTTACCATTATGTATGCCTAAAATGTACCAGTGAAGGTTTTCTTTTAAAATATTATTAAATTTAATAAAGCATATTTACCATTTTAGTTTTGCAATAAAAAATTAGAACGAGGACAATTTCAATTTATTAAATATGATCAAACAGGGCTGGGGATTTAGCTCAGTGGCACCATGCCTGCCTCACAGGTGTGAGGTCCTGAGTTTGATCCCTAGTGCCACAAAAAAAAAAAAAAAGTGTGTGTGTGTGTGTGTGTGTATACACACACACACACACACACACACACACACACACATAAAACAAATATGGTCAAACAGTTAAAATACATTAAGGAAAAAAATAAAATACTTGCTTCTGTAGAATACCTGGAAGATTTCCATTGTAGTCCACATCTTCAATACCACATCCCCATTTGATGAGAAGCTGTAAACAGCCAAGCCGTCCGTGAAAGGCTGCATAATGTACAGGTTTCCATTCTCTCTTGTCAGTCACACTGGGATCCTAGAGGTAAAAGTCACAAGGGTTGTTTCCTCCAATTTTGTAGGAAAAACTCTAAGTCTAGCAGTTTCATGCTACAAATGAAAATTAGAGACTGTTTTCAAAATTAAATAGCAAACACTAAATATAATAGAAAAATTCACTTCTACTACTGATTTGAACATGAGATAGTAAGATATTAGGGAAATTTTACAAAATATTCTCTATTTTTTTTTGAGACAGGGTCTTGATATATAGTTCAAACTGGCCTTGAATTCATTATGTAGCCCAGGCTGCCCTCACACTCACAGCAATCTTCCTGGCTAGGCCTACTGAGAGCTAGGATTACAGGTATGTGCCACCACACCAAGCTAAAATATTCTTTTCAAAAAAAATATAATTAGTCATAGTCATAAAATAGTTTTTAATGCCAGGGATTCAGCTCAGTGATTCCACCACCTGCCTCACAAGCACAAGGTCCCAAGTTCAATCCCCGGTACCAAAAATTTTTAAAGTAAAAACAAAGTAAAATAACAGTTTTTAAAAAAAATTTTTTTTTGAGACAGGGTCTCACTAAGTACACTAAGCAGTTCAGTCTAGCCTTGAACTCACTATGTAGCTCAGGCTGGACTGAAACTCCCAATTCAGCCTCCTGAGTGCTTCGATTATAGGTATGTGCCACCACAGCCAGTGATAAAGAAGAAATTTAGTCATTTTACAAGTTGCATCTTCCTGCACACCTGTAATCTCAGCACTTAGGAAGCTGAATGAAGCAGGAAGATTACTGTAAGTAAACTTGAGACCAGCCTGAGCTACAAAGTAGTGAGTTCAAGGCCATCCCAAGCTACACAGCAAGAACCTGTCTCAAAAAGAAAAGAATCTTGACCAATAAAATGACAGAGAAAGATTTAAATGATCAAATCATATCATCGAAACATGACAAAATATTTAATATGCTTTTCAGTTTTTTGTCTAACTATAGAAACAAATCAAAATGTACTGTTATAAGAAGTTATTTTTTTACAACTGCTGGGTAATATTAAAAATAAATTTCAAGAAATGAAATTTGTGTAGAAATAACTTCATAAAGTATGCAAAATAAGAGTTCCAAAAGAAACACATATGTAGACAAACAATTATATAAAGGTTTAAAATTACCTGGTTAAAATGGGTTTAAAAGACTAGTAATCTTCCCACTTAAACTATGAACTGGCGTGCATGCACACGCACACACATGCGCACCCAAATCCTCAAATGCTTTGTACTACTAAACCGTGTGGGAGGGTGAGATTTATCTGAACTATTTCTCCCATGTTTACAAGCCAAAAGGAACAATTGCTTTCCCAAAATCATACGAGATTTTCAAAGTCAAGGAGGGAATCATCAGAGTACCAACCACACAATTACACACTGTCTACATCTACATAATTACACGCTATCACATATTAACAAGAATCCCTCACCACTCCACTTCGGAGCATTGTTTGTAAAGTGAAAGAATGACCATGAGTTGCTGCAAGGTGTAAAGGAGTACATCCACGATCATCTTGAGTTGCCAGATTTGCTCTGTTGATTATAAGAGCCTAAAAAAAGAGAAATGGGAATGGGTTTATATGAGTACAAATGTTAAATTATGAATTTAGAAAGGCAAGCAATGCATTATTAACCTGTAGCTAAATTATTATTTATGTCCTTAAATATGTGCTATATGAGACATTCTTAGCTAACCCTTATTTTGAGACAGAGTCTCAGACGGGCCTTGAACTCATTATGTAGCACAAGCTGGCCTCCAACTCACAGTGATCTTCCTCCCTCTGCCTCCAGCAAGCTGCGATTACAGGTATGTACCACCATGCCCAGCAAAGAGTTGAATTATTATTAAAGTATTCTCAGCTAAAAAAAAGCTGCTAAGGAGGTCGTATCTCCTCCACATTTATTTGTTTGTTTGTTTGTTTGTTTGTTTGTTTGTTTTTGTTTGTTTGTTTGTTTGTTTTTTGGTGCTGGGGATCGAACTCAGGACCTTGCACTTGCAAGGCAGGTGGCAGCACCACTGAGATAAATTCCTGGCAAGGAGGTTGCATCTGAATTGGCAACAGCCCAGTTTCTATGTATGTATTATATCATATGTACATCACACCCTCTATATAATATACAGAATAACTGATTTAAAAGAATTATTTGTTCCAGCCAAATTTCCAGAACTTTGAGAATATCAACAAATATATTTTAAAGTTTATATAGAGACAAAAGACCTGGAAGAGCCAAAACAATATGATGAAAATAACAAAGCTGGAAGACCGATACTATTCAACTTTAAGACTCACTTAATAGGTCACAGTAATCAAAACAGTATGATACTAACCAAAGTATACAGATGTATCAATGAAAATGAATGGAGTCCAGGAACAGGCTCATATGTAGTGAACTAACCTTTGTCAAAAGAGCAAAGGTAATACAATGAAGAAAAATGATTATTTTAACAAATGTTAGCCGGGCCTGGTGACGCATGCCTGTAATCCCAGCACTCAGGAGGCTGAGGCAGGAGGATCGCTGGGAGTTCGAGATCAGCCTGGGTTACATAGTGAGTTCCAGGTCAGAATGAACTACATAGTGAGACCCTGTCTCAAAAAAAAAAACCAAAAACAAATGTTACTGTAATTATTGGACATTCAGATATAAAATCTACACACAGATCTGACACCCTTTAAAAAATTAACTCCACACGGGTCCCCTGCATAAATGCAAAATGTCAAAGCTAAGGAAGGTAGCTGAACTAAAAGAACAGCCAATATCTTGGTCCTTGCCCTCCAAGGTCAGCCAGGACCCAGGGCATGATGGGACCTCTCTAAAAGGATCCCACAACTCTGGTGACTCACCCAACCTCTCAAGCAAGGAGACTGCTGGGCCTCAGAAAATGGGAGTCAACCAGTGTACACTGTACCAAAAGAAGGGTCACAGCAGAGCACGGTGCCATACGCCTATAATCCCAGTACTTGGGAAGCTAAGGCAGGAGCACCATCAGTTTGAGGCCATCCTAGGCTACATAGTGAGTTCAAGACTGATTTGAACTGCACAGCAAGACCCTGTGTCAAAAAACAAAGCAAGAAATTTTCAATTTTATTGATTTATTTATTTTAAGAGTAGGAAAAATTTATTTGGACAAAGAAGCTTCTGCCTTAGAGAGACAGAAGAGGGACCTGAAAGTGGGTTGCTCAATTTTTAAATTTTAAATATAAAAAAAAGGAGGGTCACAAAAGAGAGAATGTCCCCACGCTTCCAGGGGAAGCCATGTGGTCAAGCAAAGACCATGATCCATCCTGGCAGATGACACAAATGGTAGAGGAAAAACCTGGAGGAGAGAAGAGGCTCTGCACCCAATCCCACCAGTAACTCCTAAGGAGCCTTAGCTGACCTTGACAGATATATAGACAGATTCATTTTCTTTTCCCATTTTTTATTAGTACATGTTTTCAGTACATAACTCTCCATGATCACATTCTACATGGGGAATGAATACATGAATATAACAAATTTCATTTCCTTTTTTTTTTTTTTTTTTTTTGCAAAACTAGGAATTGAACACAGGACCTTGAACCTACCAGGCAGGTGCAGCACTACTAAGCTACATCCTGGCCCCTGTCACTTCTTTTTCTTCCTTTCTCCCCCACACCCCCCCCATCTCTTGGTCCCCTTCCCATTTAAAGATCTATCTCTCTATTTCTATTATCCATCTTTCATTTAGCTTTTTGTGTATATGAGGAATCAAACTCAGGTCCTTGCACTTGCCAGGAGGGTGCAGGGCCACTGAGCTAAATTCCTGACCCATCATTTTGCTCTTTTGTTTTTTGGATTTTTGAGACAGGGTCTCACTATGTAGTTGAGTCTGACCTGGAACTCACTATGTAGCCCTGGCTGGTCTCAAACTCACAGCAATCCTCCTGCCTCAGCATCCTGAGTGCTGGGATTATAGGCGTGCGCCACCACGCCCTGCTCTCATGTTACTCTTTATGTTTTGGGTTTCTCATATAAGAGAAAGCATGCTATATTTAACTTGTGTGGCTGATTTATTTCACTTAACATTTATCCTATGTCTCACTCTCAGTTGGTCTTAAACACCTACTAGAAAAGTGTAAGTAAAAAGAAAAATAGATATATATAGAGAGAATAATAGAAATATTAACCAAAAAGTTAAGCTAGACATAAAGAGGGCTCCAAACACTGCATTAGTCCCTGCTGACAGTCTCCAGCTGCACTTGTAACTTATAGTTATAAAAAGTTTTGATTTGCAACCCTACTAGCTCTTCCAAAAATGTGTCCTTCATCCTCTCTTAATATATTTCCACTATGTTCTTCTATTGCACTTTCGAGTACCCCTCAGATAAAGGTGTATCTTGTTGAATAGGTATTTCTATAAAATAAGAATGGTAATATAAAGATTCTCATTACTAAGCTTTATCAACTTTGGGATATCAACTGACTTTGTATGTTTATATAATCTAGAGACTATAAAAGATCTTCATGTCAGCCAGGTGTGGTGGTGCACACCTGTAATCACAGCACTCAGGAGGCTGAGGCAGGAGGATCGCTGTGAGTTCAAGACCAACCTGGGCTACATAGTGAGTTCCAGGGCAGTCTACATAGTGAGACCCTGTCTCAAAAAAAAAAATTTTTTTTCCATGTCTACAAAATAGAGGCCAGATACAATTCTAAGCTCTACCGTAAAAGAAAAATGTAATGTCCCAGAGGTCATAAAACCATAGATATCCTACATTTACTCACTTGCCACCATTATAATTAAAATAGGACAAGGGCTGCATCACAAGCATAAGGACCCGAGTTCAATCCCCAGTACCAAAAAATAAATAAAAATAAAATAAAATGGGACATTAAATTTCTTATTAAAACAGGGAGAAATCCATATGCTGTCAAACTCCTTCTGTTATACTTGGGTAAATGCCTCAAAACAGAAGTCAATATTAAGGATAAAAGGCTTATGCCAAATGCTACTGACTTCTACCATTGAAGAAGTCATTCTCTACCACTAAAGAAATGTAATATCTGGCTCCTACTTATTTAACATGGTTATAAAATGAAGCTTAAGCATCAGTGACTTCCTAATGTTCTTATACTCTTTTCCAGACTATCAAAGGAGGATGGTTTAGCCAACAACAAAACCCATCTTCTTTTGTATCCTTTCGATCAGTCGGGATGGAACTTTTGAACCCTCACTAGGCAGAGTCAGTGCCCTTCCTGCTCTTAAGCATTTTTAAAATGGCGGACACTCGGCCCTTCTGCATCCCTCAAGAGTAACCGATCAAGGCCAGGTACGGTGGCACACTGTGAAGGACTAGGCCAAGGAGTGAATACTTAAACTGTAGGGCAAAAGCATGCAGGCTTTGTGAGGAATGAGTGGTTAAACGATAAGAAGTTTCAATTAGTGAAGACTTTTCCGTTCCCTCCTGTCTCTCTCAAGAGCTTTTCCCTCAATAAAGTTTCCTACTCTTAAAAAAAATAGAGATTAGTGAAGCACGTTGTGTCTGGCCATTATCCTTCCTCTTTCCCTGACAAACTGCCCAGCCTGGAAAGGCTACACACCACATGATTTTAACTATAAGACACTCTTGAAAAGGCAAAGTAGCAGGTGTGGTGGCTCATGCCTATCATCCCAGCACTCGGGAGGCTGAGGAGGGAGGACGGCCCAGAAAGAGTTCAAGGCCAGCCTGGACTACATAGTGAGTTCATGGCCTCCCAGCCTGAGCTACATAGCAAGACCCAGTCTCAAAAAATAAAAAATAAAAAATTTAAAAAGAGAAAAGAAAGAAAAGATGGAGACATAAAAACATTAGTGGCTGCCAGGAGTTAGAGAAATAAAAAGATGGTTAGGTTGAGAACAGAAAAATTTCAGGGTAAAAAAACCACTCTGATATATATGTCATAATAAATTTTTCCAAACCCATAAAATATGATAGCGACAGTGAACTCTAACGTAAACTAGATGTTTGACAATTACGATGTGTCACTATAGATTCATCAATTAGTAAATCAATTAATTAATGACAAATTCTTGTACCTCTGCTCATTTTTGCTCAAACTGCTTTAAAAAAATCTATGTTTGAAAAAAAGAATTTTTTCCTTTTGTGCTGAAAACTGAATCCAGGATCTTGTAAATGCTAAGCATGCTCCATATCACTGAACTATACCCTTGCCCCTAATATATTTTAGTTCTTTTCTCCTTTAATTATTTTTTTCTTTTTTAACAGGCCTACAATTACCAATATCACCGCAAATGCTTACTCAGTCATAATTCCTAAAGGGCTTTAGGAAGAATAATCTTTTTGATTTTAGTCTGATCCTCATCAACTAGCCAATAATCATCATAAATGATAATACTGAGTGCTTGCTGTGTTTTAAAAGTCAGGAGGACAGAGCCGGCGATTTAGCTCAGCGGTTCGGTGGCCTGCCTTGCAAGCACAAGGACCGGAGTTCAATCCCCAGTACCAAAAAAAAAAAGTCAGGAGGACAGATGGACCGGGGATGTAGCTCAGTGGTACCTGGCAAGCACAAGGTCCTGAGTTCGACTCCCACTACCAAAAAATATAATAAGTAAATAAACAAATATCAGGAGGAATATAAAACTTAGGAACTCAGCATGTAGACAATCACAACGATACAAAGCAGTCTTTGATAAGGAAATACTACACGCTATAGTACAAAAACAGTACCACAAAACTCTGGAGGAAGAGCTCACTCGGAAGAAGAGGAACATCAAGGAATAGGGAGTGATTTGAACTCATGCTTCGAAAACATCAGGTAAAGCTTCATTCATCCTCGTATCTCCTGAAGTTGTTATTGTTTTTTCTGTTTCATTGCTCAGCTTCTCAAATGAATGCCTCTGTACCTCAACTTCAAATTTATCTGCAAATTGAGAGCTGTCTCTACCCTTGCATAGAAATATAGTCAACTTCTCCTTATAGTGAGTTTAATGGCATTTCGTTACACTTTATATCCATTAATTTTATTCATAAGTGATATTGCTGCCTGTTTTTATGTCTTGTTATGTAGCCTAGGCTGGCCTTGAACTAGCAGTGATGCTCCCACCTCTCCCTGCTAAGTGCTGGGATTACAGGCCTGTGCCACCACGCCCAGCTATGCTGCCTGTCTTCTTAAAATAAACTTCATCCTTCACTTCCATAGCACCGACTGATCCCAGCTCTCCCATCTTCTGGATCTTTCTTCTGTGAGATAATCACAGTTTCTACCCATACCTACTGGTAATATTCTTCATCATTAATCTTTAACACTCTAAGATGAAAAGGCTAACCAGCTTTCTAAGGTCCCATTTCTGAGGGCAGAGCCCCCATGACCTACTAACCTCCCCAGTATGCCCACTCCCTAACAACATCACGTTATGGGTAAAGATTTCAACATTTATTTTGGGAGAACACAAATATTTAGACTGTAGCACCAAGCTGCAAATCAAAACCGTGATGTCTCTCAAAATAACCACAACAGTCAATTACTTAAGAGATTAAGGGACTTTCAATCTCATTTATTTTTTTAAATGTATAGGTGGGCATCAAAATCTGAGTCGTTGGAGGGCCGGGGATTTAGCTCGGTGGTTCCACGGCCTGCCTCGCAAACACAAGGACCCGAGTTCAATCCCCAGTACCAAAAAAAAAAAAAAAATCTGAGTCGTTGGAATCCAGTAAATTCTTATTTAAATCATAAAACTACATCTATTGGGTCATATAATGAGAATTATAGTGGGGCTGGGGATTTAGCTCAGTGGTTCTGCCACCTTCCTCACAAGCATAACGCCCTGAGTTCAATCAATACCAAGTACAAAAAA